TAACGGTTAGCCCAGCCTTGGGATACATATATCGGGTTTTGTATTTTTTGAAGCGGAGAACGAAGCAAAGTGCCTTGAAGAGTTTCCGTTTGGGTAAACTTTTTTATCCGTAGTTAAAGTTTTCTTATTTTTTAGGGTTATATTTTGTAATATGTACCAATAAATACAGAGCGTCCCAGGCTGAGCGTGCATTAGAAGTGTCTAGAGATCTACAATATTTAGATCGGAGATTTTTTGCACGAAATCTATCGATTAAAAATATTTTCAATATGGCGGCACTTTCGAAAATACCGGAAATTGACAGCAACTTTCTTATTTTATTCTTATTTTAAATGGGTACCACCTCTTTTTTATTTCATACACTCTATATATAACATTACCATTTTTTGGGAAAAAAATATTTAAAATTTTTGGAGAAAAAAAACTGCCTGTCAAAAATATCTGTATAGCCTAAACGAGAAATCTAGTAAACACAGCCCAAGTAGCATTTTCAAGACTTGCGACCACATATTTACTAAACACAACGTTGGATTAGTTACAAAAAATAGTTAGCTCCCTACCTTGGGTATTAAAATAAATTTAAACGTTTTTATAACGTTGTGCCGACGTTGGACTAGTACTACAGCAAAGTAGAAGCTTCTGCGACGTCGAATAAACGTTGTCTTGTAACCTTTTTGCTTAAGTGATCTTTAGGTGATTCGGACAACGTAGTTACAACGTTGGACAATATAGGAGATTTTCCGACGTCAGTTTCAGGATCTATTCAACGTTATGTAAACGTCGTCTGTTTTACTAATTCCAACGTTGTTTAGATTTCTTTATTCTTACGTTGGTAGGACGTCGAGTCACTACCTTTTTGCAACTGTATTGAACCATAACCTTAAATCTTAAATTTTCACTTCATTGTTCTGTTCAGTCAGACAGTTCAGTGCTGTTTTTGTTTTTATAAATAAAACTTAATTAAAATGGGACATAAGAAAGGTACATATAAAACTAAATTTAAATATACATCGACATATATTACCGATGTTTATCCACTCCCTCGTTTATTTAGATTATAGAGGGCGGCACAAGCTAGACTCTAGGATGACTAAATTAGGCAATCTTGCGACTAGTATACTACCTGTTAAGGCCGAACTGCGACTTTATTAGTCCAGTATGCGACTACTCGAACTACTCCATCTTAATCTCCCAAAACAACAAAGTGAAAGCCGCCATGTTGTTAAATAAGAAAATGTTTCGTTCCTAAAATAGCAATTCCTGCTTTTTGAATACATTAACTTGAAATATTTGACTCTAAAAATCACGCGGAAACAATTTTTTCGACTGCGAATAAATTATTCTCATTTTACTAAAAAAAAATTCAAGAAAATTTTTAAAACTTTTTTAATTTTAAGGCCCATTAGTATTATTCAAAGTAGAAACAATACATTTATCAATAAAGTTGTTTGCGTTTAACTTTTTTCCTTTGGGTAATGAGTTACAGAGTCGGTTAAAGTGTTTCAATAATTATGATCTTAAAACATCCTCCACACTTAAATACTTTTGTTTTGTTTTCCTTCACTGCCATCTGACATATGTCTCTAACTAAATCATAAAAATAATATGTTTACTATAATTATCCCAATTTAGGATAAAACGCGACTTAGACGCCATATTAGTTTTGTATTTCTGTGAATTAGGATTTTAAACAACGTTGCCAGTTTGTATTAAATTAGACTTCTAGCCAACGTCGGTATCCAACGTCGTTTCGACCCAAAAATTATTCTCCAAACTAGTGCAGACTAGGGTTGGTACGAGGTTGTGCCGACGTTGCGCCCCGACGTTTGGTCGCGTGACACAACGTTGTCCCGACGTCCAAATGCTGCTTGGGAGCCACTGTGGCATAAAGAGAAGACATGAACTATTAAAAAAAATTAAATTGTTCGAATGTCATATAATATTGGCCGTAGCTGTCATGGAATTGAGCGATTAAAAAATTATCATAAATCATTTTTTTCAAACGGAAATCCACTTTTTTTTATTTCACTAGTAAATAGGTTTCTTAATTCGTTACTTTTTGATTATATAATATGTATGTTCCTATACCTAAAATAAATCGTTTTTATGTTATTTAAGATTTAGTTTTAAAGCCTAATTTTTTCTTCATTTTATCCTAGCTTCCTTTGGCATGTGTCAAATCATGAAACAATTTATTTCCTTCTGTCAAAAAACTAATTATTTGAATTCCGTAAAGTGTATTTATAAAATATTTTAATATACCCGGTGCGTCTCAAAAGTGGCTCACCCCTATAACTTTTTTATTTTTTCAGATGAAAAACCGAGATTTGGTATGTTAGTATATAACATAAATTGGGGATTAATTGATGGTATTCAAATGTGTTTGGTCACTTCCTGTTTCACCGGAAATGACCACAACTTTTGATTTTTAAATGGCACCCTTGTTTTTTGTTTACTTTATTCGATAGAAAATGACACTCTGAATAGAATGACGTATCATATGTCAACTTTTCACATTTTCTTATATGGTTTATTTGAAATTGTAACATGCGGTTCATAACGACAATTTGACTCGAAATACCAAGTGTGTGGTACCATATTATTCGTAAAAAAATGCTTTTTCCAAACATGCTAATGAGCCACCCTCGTTCCATTTGAAAACATTGAGATATGATTAAAAATACAATTGGGGCATTTTTAAACCGACTAGGACAAGACACGAAAAACATTAGACGATCAAATCTATTTTTCCAAGATTCCTTGATTAGCAAAATAAAAACACTAAATCACCACAATACACCAAAAGCCTTTTACTTTTACACTGGACGCGCGTTTCGCTAACCATGTTAGCATCATCAGCAGATGATTATAAACTAAAGTACAATCTACAAGTTGAGCGTTTATATACTCGCCCAGTGGGCACCGAGTGGGCGTGGCAAAATATAGCCAACCGAGTCAGAACCCACTGAGCAAAACAGTTAGATTTCCGCCACTAGAGTAGTAGGAACAAAGAACTTGAAGGAATTGGACCGTTGTCTCTGTTCATACTATCTTTACATTTATTAATTCTGATGCTTTCATATGCATCTAATTGCCTGTAATTTGAGAGTTGTTTAATTAATTTTAAATTATTAAGACCTATACAATGTTCTTTATCAACAATATGTTCGACAACGGAAGATTTATCCGGTCTACCATATCTTATCTGAGCTAAATGTTCTTTAAATCTAGTTAATATTGATCTTCTAGTTTCCTCAACATATTTCTGATTACAATCTTTACAAGAAATTTCATAAATACCCGACCTTTCCAGTGGAGGTGTTTTATTCTTTGGATTACCTAATAATTGTTGTAATTTATTATTAGCACTATACACAAGTTTATAATTGACATTCTTAAAAATTCCTTTTAGACCACGGGATAACTCTCTATCAAACGGTATCGAAAAATATTCAGACGTATCTTTCTCCACTTGAAAAGTCGAATTTTCAGAAATCATTAACCTATACCTACGTTTTCTAATTAATTGATCAACTCGTGAAGGAGAATATCCATTTACTCAGCTACATTCCTAATGTAATCTCTTTCTATTTCATATCTTTCGTTGGAAAGTGGGAAACTAAATAATCTATGAACTAAGAAATTTAAACTAGCCATTTTATGTTCAACACTATGATGTGATTCATTAGGAATATATCTGCGTGTGGTCGTATTTTTCCTATAGATATCAAATTCCAGGCAATTATTAGCATTTCTAATAACAAATACATCTAGAAATGGTAATCTGTCGTTGTTCTCAATTTCATGCTCATTTCTTGTAAAGATTGTAATCAGAAATATGTTGGGCAAACTAGAAGATCAATATTAACTAGATTTAAAGAACATTTAGCTGAGATAAGATATGGTAGACCGGATAAATCTTGCATTGCCAAACAAATTGTTGATAAAGAATATTGTATAGATCTTAATAATTTATAATTAATTAAACAAGTCTCAAATTACAGGCAATTAGATGCATATGAAAGCATCAGAATTAATAAATGTAAAGATAATATGAACAGAGACAACGGTCCAATTCCTTCAAGTTCTTTGTTCCTACTACTTTAGTGGCGGAAATCTAACTGTTTCGCTCAGTGGGTTCTGACTCGGTTGGCTAGATTTTGCCACGCCCACTCGGTAGTATAAAAACGCTCAACTTGTAGATTGTACTTTAGTTCATAATCATCTGCTGATGATGCTAACATGGTTAGCGAAACGCGCGTCCAGTGTAAAAGTAAAAGTGTTTTGGTGTATTGTGGTGATTTAGTGTTTTTATTTTGCTGTGTAACACCAAAGGTTCCAACCCTCAACTGTAACCTTGATTAAACATTAGTGTTTTTAACACAGCCATGGAACTCTAGATTGAAATTTAAAATACGATTTTTTTTAAAACGAGAATGTCAAAATTTGACATATGATATGTCATTCTATTCAGAATGTCATTTTCTATCGAATAAAGTAAAAACATACCGAGGGTGCTATTTAAAAATCAAAAGTTATAATCATTTCCGGTGAAACAGGTGGTAACCGGAAACAAATATTGAATACGTCAATCTATACTATTTTATCATCATATACTAACATACCAAATCTCGTTTTTTTAGGTGAAAAAATAAAAAAGTTATAGGGGTGAGCCACTTTTGAGACGCATCCTGTATGCTGAGCGTGCATTACATTTTATATAAAAACATAAACAATATTATTTAGTAGAGTATTTAAATTTACTTTAAATATAAATTTCAAATAAAAATAAAACCTTTTAATGTTAATTTGTGCTTGAAAAATATTTTAAAACACTACTTAGAAACGACAGAAGCTACGATAAGTCGGCAATATTAAAATATGTTTGACATTAAGAAGTTAATTACCTTTAATTAACTTTAAATAACATAAATTTTTCCATGCTGTCTGTTACCATTTTGTATTTTTTGCTAGAGAAAAGCAAAATAAAAAATATTAAATATTTTTGAAATAAATGTGTTTATTGGTCGTTATAACAAATGTTTTTATAATTAATAATAAAATTCATAGCAATTTTCAGGTCGAATTTCGTAGTCTGTAGAAATGATTTCTTATCTAAATGAAAGAAAAAATGTATAATTAAAATCCCAAACGAATATATTTGAAGGGTTCAGAAGTCAATAAACCATTGCATTGCATTGAGATAATGAGATTTAAAAAAACAGATTTTTTTGTCGATCTCTTCCTTACATACAATTTGACTTTCATTTTTTAAAATCCTCCTTTTTAGATTTCATTATCTCACTGCAATTTTTGATTGATTTACACTGATTGACTTCTGAACCCCTCCATTTACAAGTACATAATTATTATATAAAATTAAAGTATATGAAATTTTTGCTTCTTTATTGACAGATTATATTATTGACAGATTTGTCCACCATTTTAACAAATTAAAATAATAGACAGAAAATATTGAAACTCACTCTTAATTGTCTCAAAGACTCATCCGTAGGAGTATAGTCCATTAAATGAGAGGGCCAATAATGTGGATGCCATCTTCTTGTTCTAACGGGTTCATAAAAATTAAGTGGGCCTCTTATATTATAGTCTAAATAATACTTCGAATGGGGAGCGTACTGATAGCACTTGTGGCCGTATGTGGGATCGTAGGATATGGTTATCATGTCGTCTAAAATTTAGAGTTATACGAAAATAAATATATAGAATTACCAAGAGCCTGTGTAAAGTATATAAATTATTATATTAGATAACTAATTTTCAAAATTATTTAATATAAATTTTCTTTTCATTTTAGATGATGATTTTACTATCTACATACCCAGAGTTTCAGAAAATTTTTGTACGAGAAAGTCGCCTAAACCATACCAGTTTCGGAATCGTATCTCTTATATTAATATCTGATTTACAATTGCATTGGCGAGACACTTTGTGAATATTGAGTAAGTCTAAAAGGACATACAATAATGCCTAAGATCTTTTTGAAGTAGCATTTGGCAGTGCTTGAAGCAATAATTCATATCAAAGATTCTTTGTACCTTTGTCCTAATATTTGGACAACTTATGGTAAGTGGTTTTGTATGTCTTGAGGAAATGTAATTGAACATGTGTATTTTTTTCCCAAACTAGAGAATATATGCTCTTACATTCTATGTGGTTAAACATAATTTTCCTTTTTTTTAAATACCGCTAAATAATAATTTATTATGATATTTTCAATGATTTTTCTTCAACAGCGCCACTGTATGGCGTATGGCTGCTCAATTTGTACCATTACGACTAGGATAGTAGAAGGTTTAATAGAGGAATTTTACGGTACATAGAGTTGTAATTATAGCAAATACCACAAATAAGTTTTTGGAGATGTATAGTATTTGGGCTCTATACAGAAATATTAGTACAGATTCTGATATAGGGTAAAAGGTGATTTCCCGAATCTTACCGTTTGCAAGGCTTTTGAAAAATTGATATTTATGGTGAAATAATGTTAATAAAAATCTGAAGAGAATATATAAGATGTGGATGTGATGAAAAAATTAAATATTCGCAATAACTACAACCACTCAGTACGAAATATTTGCTGATTTTTTTAACTTTTGTGCAAAACGGTATGGTTTAGGCTACTCTCCCTCCCTATTTTATATTCAACTGTTGAAACTAAATAAAAAAATCAACTGACACCATAGCGTTTAAAAATAAGTATTTATACTTTCAGAATAATTAGCAAAGAACAAGATACGCAGTTATAACACTTTAACTTTACAAGCTTCAAGTATTTTTAAACATTTTAAAAAAATAGAATTTGCTATGACACACTTGATCAATGAATATGTATTAGTCAACTTGTAATTTTAATTGGACATAGTCAAAAGTAAATTAATTTTTAACACAAACTGGCCAATTCTAAATTGAAACTGGCAATTGTATACCAACTTTATGAAGTTAAAAAATATTTTAAATCATTAAAAATTATAGATATCTAATATATGCATTTCTACAACTATTTTAAATAATATAAAACGATTTTTAGTGGACTTACATGGATTTTCAAGTTCGTAGCACGATGTCGAGTATGTTGACTAACAATTTTTTGAAAAGGTGTAAGCTTACCGATATAGTCTCCGTGATTTTGGAAAAAAGCCAAAGTAATCATTGAAATTCAGTGATTTTGGAAATTTTGTAACAAAACAAATTTCGTGAAAGAATGTGTCTACAAAAAGGTATTTTTTAGTTAAAAATTAATAAAAGATAAATCTCTCACAAATAATATTTTGTAATATTTTATTTGTAACAAGAATTTTCTTCATATTTCAGAATTTCAGATTTTTAAAAAGTAGGTAAGTTTATACAGGGTGACAATTTGAAAACGAACAGTATTTAATATTGCCTCTACCGATGATAGTATGAAAATTTGGCGAAACACGTCAATTTACATATCAAGGGGGACAATTTTTGAGGCATTTGTTGTCGTGTTACTTTCAACCCCCTGACCCCAGGGCACCTACCCCTAAAATTTTAAATAGCAACCCTATTTCTTTTACCATTTTTGTGTTTCTTATAGAATCCTACATAAACTGCATTATTTTTTTGAGAATTTTATAAGGAACACAAAGATGGTAAAAGAAATAGGGTTGCCATTTAAAATTTTAGGGTTAGGTGCCCTGGGGGTCAAAGGGTTGAAAGTAACACGACAACAAATGCCTCAAAAATTGTCCCCTGGATATGTAAATTGACGTATTTCGCCAAATTTTCATACTATCATCGGTAGAGGTAATATTAAATACTGTTCGTTTTCAAATTGTCACCCTGTATGAAATATATTATGTGGTACTTTTTCTACTTAACTTTCAAAATTCAAAATGAAATTTGGAGTAATATTAAAATACTTTTGGCTTTAGTTTATTAAGCAAAGTTTTAGTTTATGGTTAGGTATTTTAGATATTAACTATCTCTACAATAAACTCACATTTGTATACAGGGTGATTCAGTGATTCAGATTTTACTAGAATAACTTCATGTATCGATAGAACTAACCGAAATAATGATAGTTTGTACTATAAACCATACTCCAAAAACGCTTCCGCTTGGAGTAAAATGGCGCTAAAATTTGAATTATTTTTCGGTTTTAGTATTATATATATTAGTTTATTATTATATTTAGTATTATATATATTATATATACGTCGATTTGACGAGTGCGTCACCGCAAATCGCTCCGCCCACTCATTTTATTGGCTACTTGCAAATTTGTTGAATTTTTATTGATGGGACGCGTCGTCTATTTTTTACGAAAAACATCGAGAGAATATCGTTTCCCCTCTCACGGATTCCCCGTAGCTACAGAACGGACAGACGTACGCTTAATTTTATATGTATGTATATAATTTTGTATTCTCTGTTCGACGGCTGGATTATACTTGTATTCTCTGTTTAATGTATTTGTACACAATTTTTTTATATATTTCTTAATTTATCATATTATTTAACAGAATCAAAAGTAATGTTGCCTCCCATTTTTATACAGGGCGATAAAGTTTTCAGGAAAATCAGTTTTTTTTTTATAATAACACTATACTATTTTAAATATCTTTATAAAATTTAGTACACGTCTTCCATGTATCAAGATGTATTTTTTCATATAAAAACAGTTCTGTAATTTTTATTTCAGTTGCGTCCTTACGGGATTGGCTTAGTTAATTAAATTTGATTTCTTGATTTTCTTAAGAGTTTAATAGCGAAGTGCTTTAGACTTTAAATCGATATATATGATAATATTCTTTTTTCTCGGAAATTATGGAATTGTCTAGTTGTAAAATTTATTGATTTTAGTATACTTTAGTTGTTATTAATATAAGTTAAAAAGACGCTAACTTCTTTATTGCATTTTTTAATTGATGATGAATATTTTTGATTTTATCCAGTGTGTAAGCCACCAATGCACATGTCATATTTTGCACCCATACCTCATATTTGTATTTTACCACATTTTAAATTTATATGTATGCATGTATGTTATTTTTGATTGTAATATAATATTTGCTAAAGTTTCTATCATGTTTTATGTATTTGTATATCATTTTTTATATCTCCCGTAATTTTCACATTATTTTACAGTCGACATCAAAAATAATGTTGCCTCTGCACTTTGACGTAATATACGTATAAGTATTTGTTAAAACAATACTCGCCTATTTTATAAACATAATTACTTGAAAAAAAAATACCTATTTGGCTTATTTAGGTATATCCACTAATTTACTTGCACTTCGAAGTAAAATTCATTTTCGAAATACAAGACTTTTTGAAAATGAAAATGTCTAAGCACTTCTCGTATCCCAACGATCTCATAACTTATCGTAAATTTTGAACCTATTGAATTATGCTAGAACTGCTTTTTCCTAGTAAATTATGACAGTTAAAACTTATTTTTTTTTAATTTCATTATCTCTTGGATGGTCTATTTAATCATTATCAATTTGTTGTTCTCCTTTGTGGCTTTATAAAAATAATATTTTTACGTATTTTTACTTTTAAATTATAATTGACAACGACAAATCATAGGCTATGCTAGTCTTTGCAGTATAAATTAATTCAAATTGGATCGCAAATTTCCTTAATTAACCTAGCATAAGTCGTAATACAGATTATATCACTGTAGGAGTAATCAGATCGGAAGTCATAAGTTGAATCGGATATAAAATGCAAATATAATATATAAATATAAAATCCAATAGTTCACGTGATGACTCGAATCAAGTGGTCTGTGGTACCTTTTAAAAAATGGTGGATAAGCGAAACGGTTCATCGTTCATTAACTGAATCTTCGTTAAAAAAAATCTTAAATACTACAGAAGATGAAAAAAAAGCTAGAAAACTTAAATTAAACGTCGAACGTTGTCGAGCCTATAGAAATCGCAATAAAATTGCTAAAGTTTTATCAGTAACTACAATCGGTACTTCTTTTTCGACCTTGGAAGATTTTGAAGGACCATCAGAGACAACAGGAAATATAAATCAGGAAGGTAAGTAATAATACCTAATATGAATATGGTTAATAAATATTACCGTGACTTACCATTGGTGTATATACGGATATGGAAAACGTCTCGGAGAGCCAAGATAATAAAATGATTTTCATAAGAAATAAGAAGTTTCTTATTCACAGCATTTCAAAAATATATTTTATGACAGGCCTCTGGACAGGCAAAGACATTAAAATTGAGGGGCTTAGAATCCTAATCCGGCGTCCGTTTGTCGTTCATCGTTCCGTCAAACCAGTAAAATTGAAATATTATCTGTCATTTTTGAAATAAACCAATAAAACTGGTTAAAAACAACAAGACACTACGCATGACGGATTTATATTTAAACCCATCCATAGCTAACTTAAAAAATAATGGAAACTTTTTTTAGTAAAATAAATAGATTGGTATGGGATGTCATCTGCTTTTCTTGTCATCGTCTGTCTTACCTGAGAAAAAAAACAGAGTATACATGTATACATCGATAATCTAATCAAACTGGTAGTTTCGACCTTTATGCCCACTTGCACCGTTTGTATAAACTTTGTTTAAAAGCTAAACAGTGATTAATTATAATAAAATATGTATTGTTAATCACTGTTTAGCCTTTAAACAAAGTTTATACAAACGATACAAAACAAACGTAAACTCGATATTAATTATTATTACGTTTACTTTCTTATTTTTCAGAATTAATATTAAAAAATTATAGGTACTTACCGTTAAAATCAGAAATTTTGTTTCAGATTTATATTATTAAGTCCAATGCAAGAAACAACCTAATGAAACCACCATCATTAAGTGTCAAGATTTTATATTTATGGTTATTACTTCAGAAAAATAATAAAAACTTTTTGTGACCAAATTTTATTTTTTACATTAATTTTTATTAATGTAATTTATTTTTGCTGCTTACCGCCACGACCTTACATTGCATGGTTTCTGTAACCAAGAAATAAATATCACAGTTCAGTAGTAAACATTATAAGGGTGACCGTAAAGTATCGAATAAGTTCATTTAAAATTAAGGGGTGTGTAAAAAAAAGTTTTTTTTCTTCGACAACCGCCAACTTGCGTCTGGTGTGTGTCTGGTATTTTCAATACGCCTATGATGGTTGCGCATGTTGCAAAATCTGTGAATTTTTATTTTATTACTCGTAAGCCAGAGGATTTAAATACACAAGTGTTTGGTTAAATGCAAAGGGCAACGTGGCTGATATATGTGAAAAAAATTGGATTAATTGCTATACAGGGTGTTGTTTTTGTGAGTGTCAACTGCACGGAACCTTGTAGAACTTTTTTGTCGCAAGCCATTGGATAAATTTGTATTTTTTTCTGATACCTTCCGTCTTTTTAGTAACTTTTCTTGTTCTTACATTTTTTTGATATGTCGCTTAGTTTTCGAGATATTCCACAAAATTCCGGACATAGCTCAGCTGCGTTCGAAAAGTGTTATTTAATTGGCAGCATGCCTTGGAGAACTTAATTCAAATTTTGTCGCCATTTTACTCCAAGCGGAAGCTTTTTTGGAGTATGGTTTATAATACAAACTATCATTATTTCGGTTAGTTCTATCGATACCTGAAGTTATTCTAGTAAAATCTGAATCACCCTGTATACGGGATGAGTATTAAAGAACCACTGAATCTTTTCTAGATTTTCTTTCTTGTAAATTAAATTAATTAAAATTAATATTGACATATTTGTTATGTGATCATGTTTTTTAACTAAAAACTAAAAAAATTCAAAATATTTTTCAAGATATTCGAAATTTTTAATTTTTTTTTCCTCATATACGTGTTTCTGGTGTCGAAATATACTACACCTAAAAATGTTTGCACTCATTTAAGACTCACCCGATATAATAAATAATAATTTATTATTTTTATTCTTTATTACATTTTATTTTTTAGTATAAAAAGGACATATATTTTTCCACATAAATAAAAATTATGATTTTTTTTACCACTTCTTTTTATATTTTTTGTTATTTTTTCTTTAATATATTTTTATACTCCATTTTTAAATATATTTTTTAGATGACTCTATATGCTGCTTAAACTTATGGTAATTTAGGTAATCTCTCCTTTTGTTTTAGTTCCCTACATTCACATGTCTGTAAATGAATATTTTTTTATCATTTTATAATATTTTTAATATAATTTACTTAACAACTAAATCCTAACAATATAAATATATTGATCGTAACAGTAACAATTTAATATAATTAATGATTTACTACCACAACAATAAATGTGTATTGTTTATATTTTAAACAAATTAAAATTTAATACTATTTATAAATCCACTATTCCTTTGCTAATGTTTTATAGTCCATATAAATTGTTTCTCACCTAAAATATAAAATTTATTGAAACAGTTAAAATTTACCAACAGTTCATTTTATTTTGTCACACTTTTAACTGGCTATAACCTATAACTGTTTTGGTTTTGTAGATAGAACATTCACTGAAACATTAAATTTTAGGGTTTTTAGTTAAGTTTCATAGCATATTACCAAAAATATGATATGGTGTCAAATGTCACAGTTATTGATGTAAACTTTTTTTTAATGGGATCTTCTGTAAGATAGAAAAGTATTGGTTAAAATATTTTTTTTCTGATTTCTGAAATATATCACATATGCCCTTTCTCTCTAATCCAGTCTTGACATATTTATTAGTTTTAAGGTAGTCAGGTAGTTAATAAACTTTAAACATTGTTAGTTTTACATAAACTATATTTACACATTTATATCAAATTAAAATCAAACTATTAACAAAGAAGGGCATGTGTAATATATTTTTAAAATCAGAAAGATATGTTCTATCTAATACACTTCTAACAGGGACAGCGTATGACACTTAATAACCTTATATTTTATCTACTTTATGAATGTTCTATCTCAAAAAATTAAATAGGTATAATCAGTTAACAGTGGGACAGTACTCACTCTAATTTTTCTGAGATGATGCTCAGTGGGCCACAAATCCAATAAGTCGTAGGGCAAAGATGGAAACCTTGGTGTTCTCCTCAAAGGCCAGTACAAACTCAAAAACTTATCAAAGTAATATCTATGTTCTGTTGTATAGTTCATTTTGGCACCATACGTTCTGTCGTAGTTTAACACAATCATGTTTTTCAAACTTTCAAATCACTTTAAACAATTAAAGGTATCGAAGTTTTATCTTTTGTGTTTTCTAATGTTACCACACATAAATGTCTATGTGGTATGAGTTAAAAAACTTTCCCCGGGATATTTATTATTTAATTTTTAAGTTTACGTGCTGACCCTGTGCCAAATGTACGTAAGTTCAAACCGTATCAAACAGAAGTTAAAATAAATGTTTTTGTATGTGTGCGAGTTGTAAAAATAAATCGTATGGAAAATGTTTTGTTTGTGCGAAAATTGGAGGTATTTTGGAATTGGAATCTATGGTAACAAAAGCTAAATATAATTTTATTTATGAAGTATTATCATTTCAATTAAAAAAAATGTATTTTCTATACTTGAGTCAATTAACACTTTTTCATAGAATTTTTATATTATTTCAGATGAATTTTTTTTTTATTTTGGCACAATATTACGATGTAGGTATTGAAATTTGAATATACATTATACAGGTTGATTCATAAGGAAATGTCAATATTCCAGGTACGTATTCAGGACCCAAAAATAAACATAAACGTCTATATTTGTGTTCATGTAAATATTGGAATGAAAACGGACTTTTTAAAGTCTTTCGAATAACGGTAACTTTTTCGTTTAGCCCTGTATTACATTTTTGATTAATACAAATGATTTCTTTGTCACTTTTTGGTCAAAAATGTATATCTGTTACCAGTGGCGCAACTATAGAATGATAGGGGGTACTTAGCCTCCCTAAACACAAAATTAGCCCTCCCGATGGTTTGTGCGAGTCGTTTAAGATGAGTTTTAACCTCAAATCAATATTATCTTTTAATTGAACTGAGCCTCCCTAACAGTCGGTGTCTAGTTGCACCACTGTCTCTTATACACTGTTTTTTTTTCTCAGGTAAGATTTCGACAGACGATGACTCAAGAAAAGCAGATAACGTCCCATACCAATCTATTTATTTTACTAAAAAAAATTCTTATATTTTTTAAGTTAATTATGGATGGGTTTAATGGGGTGTGCTTTGTGTCTTTTTAAGTCAAGTGGAGGAAAAATCGAGGGAGAATTAACTGTAGACCCAGAGCACAGTTTGTAGTTAATACTCGCTGCCCAGGTAGAAAGTCTTATTATACACCCCCCAATAAAGTTACCATCAATAAAGATTGTATACCATCTCGTCGTTGATAAGTGCATTTCGTATATGGTACCAGAATCATACTAAACATATACTAAAAACTGGAGTAGCTGTAAAATATCACACGATAGGTAAATAATGGATTTTAGTACTGCAGAAAAATAATGATGTCAAAAGGTACTGGTTTAAAAAAATTAAGATTAAAGTTAATTAATCAACCTTTAAAGTATAAAATTTGGTAAGTGTTATTATTAATAAAATAGTATGTTCTATTTATGTTGTTTTATTTATTCCTGTGGAACAAATTTGTATTTGTTTTATTGATAAATATAATAATAAATGCGGGATGTTTCTTAAAGCTTGAAAGTAAGAAATAGTTCTTTTTATATTTTTCTGGTATGTGGTGTTTTGTTCTTGTTTGTTTTGTATTAACACATACCGTTTTTTTAAATAAAATAACTCGATTAGGTTTTTTCTGTTTTATACAGTTTTTTTCACAATATTTTGAAGTAATCACTTGTCACTCAAATTTTAAATACCCATATTAATTTAATGCTATGCGTTCCAGTTGTACCAACTTATTTCTTTGTAAAATAAAATAAACTACTTTGAAATTAAAATGACAGACACATCTATCACTGTCAAGGATCTTGTCATTGGACAGACTATATATGGATTATAATATTTACATTACCATAGATTTTAATAAAAAACAGAAACATTAATTTCAAGCTTTAATATTCTGTATCTCAAAAATGAAGGCCTTGCGGATACGTATTTATATAGAATTTTAAGTGTATCTTTGGGCTCTGAATTCGTATCCGAAGTATTGACATTTCCTCATGAATTGCCATCATACCTTATTTAGTAGAGAGTGGAGAGAGTTTTTTTTAGACATTGGGATGGTAACGTCTTAGTTATCTGCGACAGACTAACCATACACCATTTAATCATGGTAAAGTGGTACGTGTATGAGTCTAGCCTAATATTGGGCGTAGTAATAACAAGTTCTCCAACCGTAAACTTATTGCAACACGATTTCGCTAAAACAAACGCTGTAAAAACTCGGCAGTCAAACACAAAAGAATCCAATTTTGCCTGAAGCACGTGCTTATGCATATTCAAAGTTCGCGCTCCAGATCCCTGTAGGGATTCGCATCGGCAAGAACTCTAATAAGTTGATGAAACTGCGTCAAATAACTTACAAAGTGCTATATAGAAACGACTTTTACGCGGAAATTTTGTGTGATTTCAGTTTTAACGAAGCTAAATTACGCCGAGGAATTATTACGTAATTATCAAAGACTATTATGAACCTAATTTAAGGGTTATTTAATAGAAGAATATAATATTATACCGTATAAACTTTTTTCGTGTATTTTTTTTAAATTTTAGTCATAGAAAAATTGGTGTTTATTCCTAAAGCTGCATTATTATCGCTTTAAATGCAAGCTTAGAACTAGATTTCAAACACCCTGTATATTATTCTATTTTTGGATTCTACGATTGAAATAAGGGTAAATTTTATTAAGGTTTATCACACTTAAACCTTACCGTTTTTGAAATATTTTCAATTTTATGAAATTGCAGTAAAAATTTTAAGGCTTTATTTCTCCAAGGGTATCAAAGTTTTTAATACTAAATATTTACTGAAGATTATTTATTGATGAGATATTGTGTTGCAATAATATAAATTTTACTACCTTATACACAGTGTCCAAAAATTTATATTAAATAATTACTAGCTTAAAAGGGCAATAATTTGTTTAATTTAAATGGAACACCCTATATATTTTACGTGAATCAGATGCACAATGTAATTGTCTATCAAATTGTATTATACCATTTTTTACCCATCTCTTCAAGTTTTCGTAGAAAATGCATTTTCTTATAATTTAGACCTCATTTATCACTGTACCCATGGAATATTGACATTTCAAATTTTTTTATAGCACCATGTATGTACAAAATGTACAGGTGGTAAATATTGCAAGCCCCTTGGCATACAAAAAAAACTATTTAAATATTTGTAAAAAAGTATACCAATTAAATATACCACCATTATTTCCGACCAAAAACACCAAAAATTAGTTAATTACATAACTTTGAATTGTTTTAATTAATAAAGTATACTAAATAAATTTGGATTAGGCTCAGAAATCAATATAATAATAAGTTATGAAAATGGACGTCTCTGTTTTTGTAAATATAAGCATTCGTCAAAAAATGAAATAAAATTTATAAGGTGTTACTTTTTACCACACTGTCTAATACACACACAAAATTCAGTTTTTTAGTATATCGAGCAATTATTATTAATCAACGTAAACAGTCAATTAATGTAGTTTGAATACTGGGATCGTATTAATTGGTCCTCTTTAAATAAAAATATTTAAACAGTTTTTTTTTTAATTTTTTAAGTAAATAAGCGAACTATATCGACAATATTAGTATCTGTACCCTTTGAAAATTTGTTACATCTTTAAAAATAAGCTAAAATGTCAATATTCCATGGGTATAGTAATAAACGAGGTCTAAATTATAAGAAAATGCATTTTTTTACGAAAACTTGAAGAGATGTGTAAAAAATGATATAATACAATTTGATAGACAATTACATTGTGCATCTGATTCACGTAACGTATGGTATTCCATTTAAATTAAACAACTTATTGCCGTTTAAATCTAGACATTATTTAATATAAATTTTTGGACACTCTGTATAAGCTAGTAAAATTTTTATTATTGCAACACAACATCTGATCAATAAATAATCTTCAGTAAATATTTAGTATTAAAAACTTTGATACCCTTGGAGAAATGAAGCCTTAAAATTTTTACTGCAATTTAAGTTAGTTAAGTAAGTTTCAAGTGCGATAAACCTTAATCAAATTTACCTTTATTTCAATCGTAGAATCCAAAAATAGAAAAATATATAGGGTGTTCCATTTAAAAAAATACAACCATAATATTTTTTACTTATTTGGGACACTCTGTACCTTGTAAAAATATTTTTAAATTGTAGATCTAATAGTCCTTCAACGAACCCAAAACTTACAATTTGCAAAAATCTAATCGTCTAGCTACAATACTCCGTGTCGTATGTGGTGAACAACCCTGTATAAGCACAGTAATTTTAGGATTTAGTTTAGTTCACACTTGATAACGGTTAGTGATACTTCTGACCGAAACGTTGTGTAAGCAAAATAAATAAAAACAATGGAAGTCCGAAACTTTTTTAGTTTTAAAACTGAATCATTGTCTTCCACATTCAAAGCAACGTTAAAAATTGTGATGTGTGAATATATGTATAAATAATATTAGTCTTACTCCATCCTAAGTATTTTTATTCGAAAATTACATGCAATTATGTTTTAGCTCTTTATTCACCTGTACGTTACTTATTTCTTTAAAGTTATTGCACATTTTTCCAACGACAAATTTGATTAAATTTGGCAAGAGCATTCCGTTGTGTGCGAAAATTAAATCATATAAATCAGCCCGTGTGCATGTCACTGGCTACGACGACACCTAAATATTTTCATTCGCGTGCCAAAAAGAAAACCGAGCCACAGCGGCGAATCAAATCAATTCTCCATTTTTAGAGACGTAGCCCGAATCAAAAGTTGCAAAATAAAATTTTAATTTTATTTACAACTGCCAGTAATATTTTAATCACTATTTATACAATAGCAGAATAATTGAACTCGAAATTAATTTAAATCAACGTTTTCTAATTATGAAGTATAATATTTTTTATCAATTAAATAAAATATACCCCAGGCACAAAATTTCCGCCACCCTAAAAATTTGACTAAGTTTGATGTTTCAGAACTTTTTATTTCGTAATCCGATTTTTATGATTATGGTATCAGTGTGAAGATAAATTTATTGGCATTATTTTTTATTATTTGAATGGCTTATATTCTTCGGTTAGGTGGGCTTATACATGGGTAAATCAAAAAGTTGTTATTTGCAAATTCAAAACACCCTGTAGAAAAATTGAGACGGGCATTTTGGATAA